GACCGTGTCGGGGTTTCATCGAGGGTATCCCCGAACACCTTCCGGATGGCAACCTCGACCTTCCTGTAGTCGATGCTGCCGTCGGTCAAGACACGGATCCTCTGCTGTTGGTCGTTGGTAAAGCCACCCTGCTTAAGTAGAAGATGCCCAAGCAGATGGTTGCCAGCGTCCGTCTCCAGAAGGTCCAGGCCTTGGTTCTTGAGCTCAGAGAAAGCCGCTTTCTTCGAAGCAAGGAAGCCGGTAATGGTCTGACCATACCGCCTTTTGCCCTTGAAGATGGCCGCCTCGAAGGCTTGCTCGAGCCTCGCCTCCTTTAGGTAGGCGTGGGACTCCTCAATGATGCCGATGATCCGCTTGTAGCCGTCTGGCGCCGTGATGTCCTCGACACCCAGGTGAGAGAGCAATGCCGCGAGCCTGCTGCCAAAGGGGATGGCGTCGATGATCCGCTTGCCAATCAGATTGGCCGGCAATCTCGCCTCCGCCTCGATGAGCCAGAGCCGCAGGTCCCAAGCCGGTGCCGGGTCCATCTTGTAGTCGACGAAGCGCCTCGCTTGGCCCTCCTCGGAGCCGTCCAGTCTTCTGCCGTACGGCGGGGTTCCGCTTGGCGAACTTGGCCGCACCGGAGAAGCTGAGCCAAAGTCGCCTGGCGCAGTCACCTGCAATGGCGTCCACAAAACTTTCCCAAGGATTCCCCTCAGGAAGCCGCAGCTGTGTCCACAGCTGTCCCCTCTCCAGTCCCAGTTGACTGGTTCTCAAAAGTCCAAGGCCAGCAGGCCAAAGCCACAAAACAGGTAACTCTCGAAGTTGTACAGAACGGAGTCGGAGGAAATCCTTGCCGATGCGCAGAATCGGTACAAAGTCGGTGACGTCGAACGCCTGAACAGAAGCCACAGCTGCCAGGGAGCAGCTGCCACCAAGAGCGCCGCAGAGCGCCCAGAAAACGCAGGCCTGGTCGTCACCGAGGCTCCGCTACCATGCGCAGCCGTGCACTCCAAAGCACGCAGAACAGGCTCACTATTTTCCTGGACTCAAGCCGGCTCGAGGTTGCGGTGCGCACAGTTCACATCTCTGCCAAGTCACCCCCTGCTGGATGCTAATGCAACACCCTTAGGGGGAATACTCTGGGCTCCAAGCGTTCCGTTTCACATCCGAATTGGACGCCCGGAAAGCAAGTGCCCCGCGTTCCGAATCCTCACTGTGCACTTGAACCTCTGGATGGGAACGCTGCAGTCTGCCTCTTCAATCTCGATTTAAGCATATCAGATCACATCAGATCACAAATCTTGGAGGCCTTCCATAACCTGAGCCTGAGGCATTTCAATATGTATGCGAAGCCGCGCGCGCCCGCACAATCAGACCGCCTTCCTGGCAGTCTCAACACCTCAAGGAAACAACTGCAAAAGGCTGCACGCAACTTGACCCCAAAAGCTCAACCCTAAAGCCTTCCAGCAGCCTTCTGATGTCGCCCCTCGGGATGTTCATGGCTTCCCAGATCCCCCTCCTGAGTACACCATGTGGCCAACGCCGTTTTGGGGCCGCTTTGAATCAGACTGCTTCAGGCTACATCTGTCCTGTGACCTTACGCCTAAATTAATGTTTGGGAACATACAGCTTGCGGATGCTTACGGTCTTCCCGCGCCTCCGCCGCTAAAATTATATTTAGCAACTACTGAAATGATCTGGTATAAGTAGATGGGCACAACGGGCAGTGGGGCGCAGCCCAGGGGCAGCATCAAGCTGAATAATGTCTCAAAGCCAAAGGCGGCATGCCAGGTTGAAGCCATGTTCGGTGTTGTCAAAGGGTTAACGCCTATGAGCAGATCGCCTCTCGCCAACAAGCGTATGTGTGCAGCCGGACGGGGCCTGTGACGCTCCGAGACAAAATAAAGGCCCACATGGGCAGTCAGGCATCATACTGTAACGGGAGCGAACGCGGCGCTCCACCGAGCAGATCGTAGAAGCGGAAAAGGCTTGAAGGTGCCAGCACGTCAGAACATGCAGGTTGCCAGGCAGAGCAAAAGTAGGCAGTGGGCATGCGCCATCATCGATGCGGGTGGGATCTGCGCCTGCATCCATGTTCCACCTGCACTGGTTTCACGCGCCTGTGTATGACACAAAGCGGGCGGTGATGGCATCGGGAGCCCATGAAAACCTGGGCACGCGGTCTGTGGGCGACCATGCGCGATATGAATTGCGACACGCATCAGAACAGCTACTGCACCTGAACAACAGTCCTGAAGCAGGATAAGTGCACAACATCAAGCAACCAAAGCATCGTTGAATTTGAGCTTTCGTCCTGGATCTGAAGAAGCCGGTCAAGGTCATCGAAGCCGTGGGCAGCCAAGGTCCCATGGAGCTTCAACAACCCTGTACCAGAATTGTCTTCAAGGTGTACTCTGCTTCAACACGCGTTTGGCTGGCCTAGCGCGAGCAAGAATGTCTCCACCTGCAAATGAGATCCCTCGCATAGGCAAGCGAAGCAATGAAACCACAATTACACATACACTTGTAAGCTCAAAGCATGAGATGGTCCGCGCTTGCAGCCGCAGCCTGTCGCTGTACGTTATACCAGAAAAGCAATAGCTTTCAAATTCTAAATTGCAGCCCTCTAAGCTAACATTGAGGAAACCTGCAGCATCCATCAAGCAGTGCCCACTTGAAACGCGGCAAGCATGGACATCAATCCGGTCGATCAACAAAATACCGATGACAGCCCGCGCTGACCCCGAATACTTTTTTCATGGCAAGAAGCAGGGGAGAAACGCCCTGCGCCATATCGAAGGCTCCTGAAGTACGCATGATGAAGATTTGCGCTGCTTCAGACTTCCCAAGGTTTCGGCAGCAACGGGGGCGCCGAGAAGTGCATCCACCTCCTGGTCTCATCATTGAACTCCAATTAGCATGAGAACCAGAGGCAATGGAAGTGCAATCATGAAAGTCGAGCGAAGCCTCTACCACCGGGCAGATGCTCCATGCAGCCACGAAATTATCTGAGGGAATAAACAGGTTTTGCATGACGGCCCTCTCTCTGGCTTCGTTCTCCGACGCCAACAAAAAGGCCGAGTCGCCCGCGCTTTCCACACCTATCTCGTTCAGTTCGTGCCATACAGGCTCGGCAATCAGTCTCCGCCATTGCTGCAGAGGCCACGCTACAGAAGGAGATCAATTATGACTGCCGTTCCTGTTATTACTGCAATTTCCAAATATTTGAAATACTATCTCCTCTATTACTGTTGTTTCTAATCTAATTACGATTGGTCTGGCCACTCAAGCAGGATCTAATAGAGGGTGCATCCGTAAGCTTGCCGTGCCTGTTACATCTGTTCATGTTCCTACGCGACACGAGAGCTACTAGCAGTTAGCAAAACCAAGTTCGAAGAACCGAGACACTCAGATGCAACCCGATGTCAACTTCGCATCTCAACCGTATTCCCAAATATGTGTCCATGGCTACAAACAAGCAATGGGCACATTCCCGCCAGCGCAACAACAGCGCAAGGCACTGGCTGCAGCAGCTCAATTTTTGGACTCTGCGCGCCAGAATCAGGTGAAGACATCGTCAACCTTTGGCTGTGCTTCAGCCTTGCTTCGGACTCCAAGAATTGAAATCGTGCCACGCGCGTGCTGCTGCAAAAGCCTACATCTGCATCACCAATGCTGCCTCACCATTCTGGGCCGCGTGCCAAGACACGGAGCGCTTCTGACTCTGCACCTCCCATGCTTGGTAGCAAAAGGAAATTTGAAACTCTGGTGGGACCAGGCCTTTTCCAGATTCTTCGTCGGATGCTGGATCCTGCTGCAAGAAGTTGCAGGCTCTGTGCAGGACTGTCCAGGGTGTCTTCAACATTTTGGCGTCCTCTTGTGCGGACGAAGGGGTGATCTCCTCCAAGTGGCCTCGGAAAGACTATTCTGCACTCAAAGCCCTGTAGCGAAGGTGACACATCCCACCTGATGCCTCCCGAACCTGAATTTCCTGTTTGGCAGGCACCAAAGGCAATCTCCATGCGGTCTGAGGAAGAGGCGACCTTCAGATGTGAAATCTGCCTGCTGCAAGTTAAGGGGCTACAGGCAAGCGATGATCCTTCTGAGATCCCGGTTGGACCTGAATTAAATGCATGCGATGGCTTTGGGCCTGCACGCCCAGAGCCACGGCCTCAAAGTCCTCCTCAGGGGAGGCTGACCAAGCCTCTGCTGGCCTCATTTAAGGGAGTTTCCCAAAATTGGGGGTACCATTTTGGGGGGGTCCAATTAATAAGATACAGTATTTGGGGGTCTATATTGGGATCCCCTTATTTTGGCAAACCTACCATTTTGGTTAGCGAGATTGCACTCGCTTTGGGAGCCTGTTTCAGGATGAGCTCATTTGCAGCTTCTATGCCAGGCCGAGTCTGGAGGAGAATTCTGGAGGCCGCAAACTCCAAAATGGCTGGGCTCTGGGCTGGGGAGCTGCACACAAAGGGGCCTCCCAAAATGATTTGTCTTCAAAAGTTTGGGTGGCCAGTTCTGCCGGCCTCAAGCAAGGAAAGGTTCAGCTCGCCGGGGGATGTGCCCTGCGGAGTTGCCACCTGGCCAGAAAAAGGGAAGATTTACTTGTGACTTGCTGTCCTGCACATCTTTTGCATTGCAGGGGATCAATCGGCTGCCTCGTAGGCTGACAAAAGCAGCTGGGCGTACAGTTGCACCTGAAGTGATGCCGGCGCCTCCTACACTAGCTTACGGTCAAGGCTGTACGATTTCGCAACATGTTTGCACGGCCACGGAAGGCGAGAAGTCAAAGTACATCCTGATTGCAGACAAGCTTTTTGACCGGGGACCGCACAGTCTGCTGGCCAAGAAACGCATTACTTTTCCGGAGGGTACTGGTAACTGAGTTCCTGCCCGGGCCGTGGCGGAGATTACATGTTCGCCATGGGGTTGCCAAGGTTTGTTCAGTTTTGACGTCGAAATCCAATTGCCAGAGAACTGTCTGTTGCTGCTATGTGGCACAGAGACGAGAGCTGATTACATGCATGCACGCATGCATGCTCGACCTCACATGCAAAGCAGCTAGCCCATCTGCTGATGGCCTGCCCTGCTCGAAGCTGATGCCGAAGGCCATCATGTATCCCACAAAGCGCCTGGGCCCAGAACACTTGCAGCGCCAATTGAGACTGGGCCTACTCATTAACTCGGCTCGTCAGCTGTCTGCAGCATTTTAAAAAGGGGAGGAATAGTTTGGCCAGGGCTCTGCAGGAAGCCAGTCATCCTTGGATGACCCAGGAACGCGCTAGCCGTTAGTTGCTGGCTGCTGCTAAGTCTTAATTTCTGAGTAGTACAGTAATGGGCAAGCAAGGAGCGCTGGCTTGCTGAACTGGCTGCCTCACAACTTCAACGCAGGAAGGGCAGGCAAAACATAGAGCCACAGGTGAACAAATTCTGGCAGTTGCCTGCTGGCACAGATCGTCGCCACACAGCTTCTGCGGCATACGCCTCGCATGGCTACATGCAATGCAAAACTACAGGTATAGCGCCATGCTGATTCGTGCTGCTCACCTCGCACAGAGACAGCAGCAAGACTTCCTCCCAAAAGGTCACCTGGCTCATGAGACCAGCTCTGAGGACAACCATGTCCCTGGCCACACATGCTTACACGCTTACTGTCTGAGTACACCACAGAAGTCAGCACTTTACTCCTCATCCTAACTGGGAAAGACAGTGCCTTGTTCCACAGCGCGTGGTTGTAGACGCGCGACAGCAAGGAGACCTTGCGCAAGCTCTATAATTTCTGACGCCCTGCTATAGCTTCCTTCTAGTACGGGAATCTGCTACAAGTAGCTCTGGGTCTCCAGCCTGTTTCCCATCTTCATTGTCGGTGCGGAATAGCTGGGCCAAGACCTAGTGGATCTGAAAAATCACAGAACGGTAAGCTGAGGAAGGCTGGACAGGATGGTTGAGAGCCGCAACTTGGCCCTGTACCCAAGGCTGACTGACAAACTGCTGATGCCAACTGCTTTAAGTTGAAGCTTAGCTGACTTGGTTGCTCACCATCAGGTCGCGACCGCACCTGTCAAGGACTAGAAAATTACCACAGGAATCTACCTCAACAATGGAATAATATCCCAATGTGACGCTCAGTCTGAGGCCAAGCATCGCTCTGCTCATCGGAGGCATCAAGCGCAGCTTTGAAGCAGGATGCAAGAGCCTGGCGCAGAAGCGTGCATAGCTTCCACTGCCAAGAGGCTGCTTATCGACAGCCTGCTTCTGGCTACTAAAATGGCCCCTGGCCTCGAAAGCAGGCGGACTCAGGTTTTTCCCAGCCGCGCCTTACCGCGCATCACGCTTGAGCAGCTGCTGAATGGTTTGGTTTTGAAGCGTCTCTGTGCAGCAGCTGAGCCCTCAAGCCGTCCAGCTCCGTACCCTGCGGGTCGTCCCGTAGGGCAGCTGAACGCAGAACCTGGCAACTGAGGTAAAGGATTACACGCGCTGGCATGTGTGCAGGTCAGGTGTACCTGACAGAAAGCTGCCCGCGGTCGCCATTCGGTGACACGGCGGCTCAGGCTTTCGGCCTACCAGAAACATTGTGCGAATCAGTTTTTGCCTTCTACGTACGCTGCAGGCTGCCACCTGCTCGTCTGCGGGTCCTGGTGGTCAGGATCACTTATTTGACATCCTTCGCTTGCCTGCAGCAAGTCTCTGTCATAAAGCTGTCCTTCAAGGAGGGAGGAAATCACAGGACTGATCTCATCCATCAGCTGTCGGACGTGCTGTTGCACCTGCGAAGCTTTTTTACCTTTGCTTTAGGCATCCCTATCTCCGTTACACTTCTTTGCCATGGAACCTGCACAAGTTGCTGTAGCTCCGGAGTCGGTTTGCGCCTGAGTTGGACATCTCATAGAGATGCTAGGCTTATCTACGCTTAGAGCATAGAGCATGTCAGTGTTGCAATGGCTGAACCAACTCAATCCTGAGATCGTTCTGCCCAGCTAGGTTCGAGGCGGCTCACGCGCTTTGCCGAGCTGGAAAAAAGGCAAGGCCTTTGATCAAAAGTTGCTCCCTATTAACTGTTTCCAGGCCAGCTAGCTTTTAAGGCACAAGCAGCATGGGAAAAGGAAATTGTACATCAACCCATTCCATAAACAGAATTTGGACTGCTCTCAAAGCGTGCAACAAGCTCCAGCATGAGGCACCTTCAACCAGGCTGTTACTTTTCTCATCTGCACCATACATGCAAGTTACGCCTGAAGAGGGCAAGCAAGTCAGCTTAATCGAGGGCAGTGGGTAGCCGGCTGGCTTTGGTATGGTTGCACCAGACAGTGACACTTACGTCGAAATCCCTATCCTGCACCAGTCAAGGAGAAGGCCACTAGCGGGCTTGCCGGCTGTCCGGCCGGGCCGACCTGCTGTGGTGCACCAAAGGTAGGTCGGAAGTCTGAAAAGCAGTGAGACATTTGTTTTCTCATAGCAGGAAATCTTCATCGCGCCTCTTTGACTGTCATCTCAATGAAGTCCTGCAGCTCTTTGACCTGGGCATTGAGTAATCATCGCATACCATGAGTCAGATTGAGTAACTTCGCAATCTTATGTGGGCCGGCTATGGCAGGGTCTAGGAGCACTGCCAACTCAATACGAGTTGAAAACCAACACACTTTGCCGGGTGGTTCCGCGGTGTATGCAAGAATTACAATTATTAGCATGCGAGATTCGCATTGCAGAGTGCCCTTGATACTCCAAAGCCAAAGTTGCGGCAAGAGCAAGCCTGGAGGGGACTATGGGGCCGTGGCCGCATCACAGTCCTCAGCAGCCTGCACACGTATTCTCTTCACAGTGCAGGGTCGGACCGATATGAAGCGACGCAGCATAAGCCAAGCCGGCGCAATCATTGGAACCCTTAGTACAAACCCCAGCACCAACCTCATGGCAAGCAAGGTATCTAACACGACATCTTTCATGGCATGTACTGTCCTTGGCGGCTCCCTCGAGATCGTACCTGGCCAAATGAACCCTGGCTTCTTCTCCTAAAGCCCCAAAAATCCCTTGCCATCCCTTTCTGCTAAATGGCTGCAGCTGTGGAGTTGGAGCGCACTGCATGTTCCGCAGCCACGAGGTCTCGTAGACCGCAAGCTTTCTGAGGCCATCTCGGAGGCAGCGCCCTCGCCTTTGGGGAAGAGCAAGCAGAGTCTCTGCTTTCAGACTCCAAGTATTCCTCAGATATGTGATGTGTGGACTGCAAGGCTGCAAGGCTTGGTGAAGCTGTTTGCGAGGCTGTTTTGCCCAAGCTCTAGGTGAGTCTGGGAGCCGTTGGGATACCGCTGGGAGATATGTACAACTCGCAGGCTGCTCAATGGCCTACTATTGACAAGCTTGGAGGCAGTCCGGAGCTCCCCGGACTCAGTCGGCGCATCCACTCTGGCCTTTGCCAACATCGTCGAGGACGCAAAGCTTTTTGTCTTCATCGTAAGCGCATCGCACCTTTCAGAGCCAGCTTGGTGCGTTGCTCACAAGGATGACCCACCCTTGCACCCTTGATCCTGAGGCATTAGCCCATGTGGACTTATTATGGCTCTGAGGCGAATAGCTTCCATAGCTGCTGTTGCACTCATCCTGGAGCCAGCCACAGGTCTCGCCAAAGCTGGAACACAAGTGCACAGCAAACATCTCTCTCCCAGCGTCCTTGGAAAGCAGATTGCACCTCTCGTCTGTTCCTAGCTTTTTGAGCTTTCGGAATTCTTGGCAGCCTGGCCCGCGGCTCTTTGGGAACACAGCTCTTTGGGAACTACATACTACCCCGTACCCCTGTTACTGTCACTATTCCGGTGTTACCGAGAACGCTTCATAAGAAACCCATAGGCGCGCAAGGAGCCTTTCTCCTCACAGCACATGTCGACAGATGGCGGAAAGCTGCTGGTTCCTTGGCTAGGCGAACTGGTCGGCACGCAGTGGAAAGCACTCGCTTTTTGGTTTCGCGACAAAACCATCATCGCCTCCTGCTACCTTTAGTTCCGCAGGGTCTCTGGCGGCCACAGCGTTCATTGTCGTAGGGCAAGTTTGGTGCTTGGAGCACGTTGGTTGGCAGCACTGTGCATCGGTTCTTCCTGAGAACAATGAGGCAACTGGACTTAAGGCTGCCGCAAGCTTCCCATGTTATGCTTCTGCAGGGCAAGCAGCCGAAGACTTTGTCACCAACATTTGACATACCAGCCTTGGAAAGGCGCTGTCCACGTGTCACAAAGGCACAAGAGACTACTGTGTCAGCGCCCAGGAACGTCTGCATCACAGGTGTGAAGAGAACAGGGGGGAAGACAGCAAACGTCTTTGGAGCTGCTGATGTGGGCCTCTTTGACCTCGGCTTTGTAGCGCTTCTTCCCCCTCTGCCACTCTGTATGTTCACAAGCGCTGGGCCCCAAACCAGGTCCGGGCGCCAGCCCTTGGGGCAATGCACGGATGCGCACTGCTGCAGACAGCACCTCTCATCGGATGGGTCCTTGCCAAGCTCAGGAACAACTTGCCACCCAAGAGAATTGATAACACAGGAAAGCCTCTGAAATAAGCAACAAGCCACCCATGTCTTTAGCAAAGGCACAAAGAGATCATCCTTGCTCACATCCTTGATCCAGCCAAAGCTGCAGTCCTTGTCGAAACTTCTTCTGCTTAAGATGACATCTGCTAAGAGCTTGCCTGCATGTAACTCAAGAAACAGCGACTTGTTCAAAGCCTCTTTCACAAGCAGTTTAGAACAAAATCAAGATTCATGGTGCCGACACTGCTGCTCACAGCAATCTGTTGCAGAGGTGGCCGGCTGGGACTTCTTCTTTGGAGGGATGCTGTACCCACTCACTGCATCACCTCTGTCCACGTCTTAGCAGCGGAACAGCCAACTCGAGCACATGTTGGCACACGGCAGTAAGGTTGCGGCAAGTAAAGAGCTCGCATGTTTTCACACAGCACTCCTCCTTTGTTGTGCCAGGCTTTTCTACTGTTTCTTCGCTGTACGTGTACCCAGGATCGCACCTCACCTGACAGCCAAAGACAAAAAGGTCGCGTTGCGAAGCATGGAGTCACACTTGCAGCACACACCTGGCCGCAAGTGGGTAAGCAGCACTTCTCATCAGTGTTGCCCGGTAACTGCTTTGCTTCCGGATTGGGAGCCCTAGGCTTGGTCATCCAATTCACAACCATGCCGCCACTCTGCATTGCACTCAATGCAGCAAAGAATCCACAAAGGGCTGCATTTGTGCAGCTCACATATGTTTTGACAGCATTCCTCGGCGGAGACGCCTCCGGGCAGGCTGGACACATTCCCAGGCTGGGAGAACATGGGAGAACAGTCTGCTGGCTTGCTGCACGTCAGGGCCTCCTTTCGCAGGATTGCCGACTGTTTGGCTGGCATTGCACTTGAAGGTGCCATCTGACTCTGCAGCGCCGCCTGAGCTGATGATCATCCACCACATTGATCACATCTCTCCTCTTGTTGCCTATGGGGGAAGCCCGAAGGCCAGGAGAGCTGCCCCCCCTTTCGCAGCCCTCTTTCCTTTTAAACTTTGGACTTTGGATTAGGAATGGGGGGCGCGCCCCGTGCTGAAGCATCCCTGGCGCGATCTGTTTAGCAATCAGTGCTTGTGCGTGAAACAGGTATCTCTTTAGTTTTGATCAGCTCTCCTGATAGTTGCAAGCCATAAACGCATCTCTCTTCCTCTCTCTCAACCATATGACAGATCTCTGGTGGCAAGTGCTCAGGCCGGAGCAAGCCCGGTCGCAACACTGCGTTTCTGTGAAGCCTGTCAAATGCTGTGTGTTCCCGCCAGATTGCAGCATAGAACTTCAAGCTTCAATGTGTGTGGTCATCAGCGCCCGCGTCAGAGACGATGTGGGCGCACACTGCCTAGTGATTACAGGCCCCCACGGCCTATGCAGAAGACAGAGGGAGGGAGGGACACAGACAAGCACCATGATTGCTTGCAGCTCACACATGCCCCTCGCCTACGTTGTTGTCGTAGGCCCTGTTGGCCGCGAATCCAACGCCACACGTGAACAGGCTGCAGGTTTTGTCACAACATACCTTCCAGCAGGTCTGGGTCCTGCTAGATCTATATGTCTGAGCCAAAATCCATCAGAACAGAAACTACAGAGCCAGCGCGACGCCTCATCTGATGCACCCACAATAGCCTCAGATCCCTACCCAGACAGGGACATACGGGGCCGAAGTGCTGAAGCTCACAATACTCACGTGACACTTGATGTTGATCACAGCGACAGAAGCCCTACAGCATGTAACTATGTGGCCTGGTTGGCCATTTCAGCCAAGGCACGCGCCGTCCATGCTTGGGCACATACCCTCTTGAACAGGTCCAGGCGCTGCACTTTGGCGCAACGCTGGACGAGTTGTGAGTGCCTCCATTCAGGAACGCACTGGACACTTTACACTTGGGAATCGACTCTCCATGCAATCAATGAATGCTTCGACCAGGCGGACCTTCGAAAGACGCACGCAAGTTCACAGATGCTGCCAGCAGCGGCAGCAGAAGGCCAAAGCCATACCTGGGCTTGCACGCTCGACTTCACTCCGCCATGCCCTATGATCAAGGAAAAGTAGGGACACACTCTTCGGTATTTAGCGCGACTCGTGTAGGGCCACTGTCTTCCGTGCGCACGCTGAAAATCCAAGGTAAGGAAAAAACACTTGAAAGCACACGGACAGTACTAGTTTCAAGGCTACTTGCTTCCAATCTGCTTGGCTCCCATGGCTGCGACGCTCAGCGTCGGCCCGGCCTCTGCCTTGGGTGCTTGAGATAGACGGATGCAATCAAGCTCGAGACTGCGCGCAGATTCCATGCTTCGTCTGGTCGCAAGCGTTCCATGCGGCAGAGGCACATTAGACGAAGCTCGAGGGTAGCACTGGCAAGGAGTGCTTTCTCGAGCCAATCTGCACAAAACCCATGGATCAAGCTTTGTGAACTTATCTGTGCACGCGTTCAGGTCCATGGTAAGTAACACTTGCAGCGCTTGTGATGAACTCTGAGGCTGGAGCTTGTCCTCCATGTCCTGGCACGCAACAGCATTCCACGGACTGCTTCAACACCATCCGCACCCATGATGCTCCCTGCGTACACACTTTGCACAGAGACCCTTGCCCTTAGGCGACCAGAGCACTTCACTGCCTGCAGGACCTCCAGGACGTGAGACATCTGCTGGTCGTACAGCCTCTGTGCCCTGTTGGCCTGACCAAGCGGCCGCAGTTCAGCCAGCATCTAAAGAGTCACATGCATAGTATGTCACTGCGGCGCAAAGGACGCTTTTTCAGCCGCGGAAAGCGGCAGCCGTTTCGTGCTCCACATTTTACTTCCGAGTGTGATTGCTTCTCAGGATGACAGCACGCGAATGCATTCTGCGCAGCTCCAGGCGTTCCAGAGCCAAGTGAATTGCTGCGCCATGACAATGAGCCACAAATCAAGCCGTTGACAGTGGAGTCCGTTCAGAGCGGATCACCATGCAGCCGAAGTTTCCAACCGGTCCAAATTATGAAACCTGGGTCACGCTCTTGCCCCTTCCAGGTTCGTCGTCCCATGTATTCCATATTCTTGCCAGCTTGGCGCCGTGGAATCTGCAAGGCATTCACTTCTCCAGGCGTGGCCAAACCTCGCCCACATTTGCTTTGGTCAGAGACACTTCCAGGATGGAGTCCTTCGGAGGTCAGTGAGATCAGAACTTCTGAGTTTCTGGGTAGGATGTGGCTACCTAACCAGCAAATGACGGCACCTGAAGGTCTCAAGCAATCATCCCTCTACATGAGCCATAATTAGTGAAAACTCCTGGTATCCCCTTAATGACCTCTACAGCAGTCCCCCATAGAAAAGCTTCTATGCCTTTAACCCACTTTAAGAAGTTTAGACTACAGCTCGCATGAACTTTGCAAGCACCACTTGCCCAGCAAGCCCGGTCCCGAGCATTTAGGTCGTAGCTTGTCGGAGCTATGCTGCTGAACCTTTGGGGGGATGCGAGCACTTCTTGGAAGAGGCAAGAACATGTTGAGTGTGTTTTGGGTTCCTCTGCACACAATTCCGAGACAACATGAGTACCATTCCTTCGTAGCTTGGCTTGGCTGGCCCCTTTAAATAGGGGCTGGGTCTTGCATGGCTTGTTTTGAATTCTGAGGCCTAAAACACAAAGCATACAACATGAAGACGTGAAGAATCATCTCGCAAGTGCAGGACTCCACTTGACACTGTTGCGGCTCAGGGGCAGCTGCACGTTAACCAGTGTCTTGTTCTGTGTAGTGATCTTCAGGCTTGTGGCTGACAGAGAGACCTTACTCAGGCACCTTGATCACGTTCCATCACAACAGGCTCAGATGCGGCTTTTCTGAGCTAAGCAACGTTAGTGACGTCGTCTGATGCCAGCCGCGGCACGGAGAAGACCAAATCCAAATCCTGTGGCAAACAAGTGGGGAAGCATCCCAGCCCAACAAGCCGGACAGCAAAGAATTCTTGACGGCCTTGTCGTCCTGTTGCATATCCACAAGCGTGCCTTGGGTCAAGCAGCTATCCTTTCCCGCTCACGTGTGGGCAAATGCAAGGGCAGGATCACACACTCGGGTTGTAGGCAACAAGCTATTTCAACTTGTCTAAATCCAGGAAGAATCCCATAGCAGCCCTCATAATAGATCATGTGTGAATGCATCGGCAGCATGTGGCAACACAACACGCGCTGCGCACGGCGTATGCGTACGGTGCGCGCGCAACGCATACATATGGTGTGCGCGGCGTGTACGTACGGCGCGTGCAATGTGCATACAGTCCCTACTTGCGCTCCGAAGGGTAAACTTCAGCACCTTGCATCTTGTAGGCTTAAGTTTGATTTGAACAGCTGAGCGCTTGGATTAACAAAAAAAAATGCAAATTAATCTGCTGCTCTGGCCTGACACAGCATGGATAACACTTGTGATTACCGTGAGAGCTGCAATTCCAACCCACCTCTTCACATATGTGTATCTGTGTAATCTGTAACCCAGACCTGGCAATTCAGAGTCTTGAAATTTCAAGCCAAAGGTATAACATAATTCACCACATGACTCCCATGATGAGCTCGATGCCTTTGAAGAATGCATTTACCTTCGACTTCAACGTCGACTGAATGACTAGCATGTGACTGTTTCCCCGTCATTCAACCAAGATAGTTGAATATTAATAGTATGTGTGCTCAATATCTAAAGCCATGAGGAAATAAATCACATGACTGATGCACCTACTCGAACCACAGCGGACAAGAACTGGTTTATATCATGGTAAGGCACAGGACGCCTAGGTTGGTAAGGCCTTATTCAGTGAGGGCCATGGAACCTGCAGGCTTGTCCAGGTTGCCCGGGACGTCTGCTGTTGCGCATATCTCCTTGGCCACAAGCAGTCTCCAATGTGCAGGCCTCTCCAGCACTTTCTGTATGCAAGTTGCTTAAGCCACATACTTGGCTGCAGTCAGCTTCTTACATGATGGACATCAATTATGTCTAGTGCCGCACCCAAGCTGTGGCAATGCACAACGAACTCGAAGCCAGGACAAACAGGTTGGGGCAGCGGCGCGGCTCCTCCAAAAGCAGCTGTGTTTGCGCGCTTCCCTGTCTGACTTAGTAATCGCACATTGCAGGAGTGCAGCCTTCCAAGCCCACGGCAGCTGCTGGCGACTTCTCCAAGACCGTCTGTCTTCCTACCAGCTGAGCTATGCCGGACACGCTCGCGTTCGGAAGCAAATCCAGACACTGTCCACCGGGCCTCCCTGACGACCCAAATGCAGCTTGGCCAACGAGCTGCTAGCATGAAAGCCAGCCTCAAGCGCCAATTGCCCAGCCTTGTGACAATTGTGACAAGACCGCAGTCATTCAAGTCCACTCTTGAGGCGCACTCCTATGGAGGCAAGTGGCTTCCGCAAAGTGATTCTCGGACACATCCAATGTCTCTAGGACGAAAGGATTGACCTGCTGCCAAGGCAACTCAACAACAAGGCTCGGAACGGCAGGATGCCCAGCCCAACTGTAGTTCACAGCACTGCGCTGCTGAAACTGTGAGCCTCCAGTGCTTTGGCAAGTGCGCAGCAGCCTTTGTCTGCAATAACCTGCGTTCCAGTCAAGCACCGTGAGATCCTGCACTCCTAGACATGTTAGTTTGAACCCAGTTGCTAGCTTTAACATGTTTTCACAAGTTGATCGCTCAGCGGATACGTGGTCTCTCGCTGCACACAAACAAAAATGACAAGGAAGCCTGATCAACTGAGCAACGTTCTGCCGGAGATTGAGGTCGCACAGGAAGTCGTTGCGTTGGAGACCGGAAGACAAGCAGGCTGCCGCCGTGCAGCCTAGTCCTGAGCAACTGGTCCGTCGATGCATGTTGGGCACATGAAAGCTTCAAGCCCATCGGTAGCCCTTTCAGACGTGAGTAAGAACCATGCAGTGCACAGACACCATGGCAAGAAGGATTTTAAGCGTGCGGGTGACCACAGCCTGCTTGCTAGCTCTACTTCCCTGACTTGACATCTTAGTGAGGGATCAGACCCAGAACGTCTGACTTCAACTGCCACGCCACATGCCACCAAGTCTCTGTTGTTGTTCCTCAGTTCAGCTGTGACCCCCGCAATCTGCAGCCTTGACATCCGCAACACAAAGCTGCTGATGATGGGCAAGGGGCAAAGATAATCTGCGAAGCCTCTCAGAGACCTGCATTCACAAGCGCAGACCAAGCCACGAAGAAAACATACAACTGGGTTGCCTGGGTTGCTATTTCAGTGACGTGTCGTAATATGGGGTGCATGTTTAAATAGTCGGGTTTCCCTCTTATAGTAACTTGAGTTAAGTTCCTTAAATCCCTGTATTCCCCAAGTTTCCATTTCATTTTCCATTTGATTCTCCATTATAGGGGAAAATAGTAGTTTAGTTCAGGTTCCTTAGCAGAGACCCAGTGAAAATGCTGCCTTCAGGAGTTGTCCCAGCGCCTCACCGCTGGCATCTGTCAAGCCGCAACCTGCCATAAACATTCCAAGCGTGCCTGGGAGATCTATCAACCTATGCTTTACGTTTAATGTTTGGGATTTAGGGTTTAGGATTTAAGGTTGGTGTTTTTGAAGCCAGAGTACTTTTACGTCTGCAAGAGGCACTGGATCTGTCGGCAAAACGTCGTAAAAATGACAGAGGCAGACCCAATGGCAGTGCCATAACTATAGTAACAAAAACAAGAAAGAACTATAGTAGCAATAATGGCAAGAATCGTAAAATAGTAATAGTAATAATACCTGCGAAAATTGCCAACTCCTTCTTTCCTGATTCGGGAATTATAGGCTACCTGGAAACCATGAACTGAGTGGTTTTTCTGATGATCCTGAATTTCCTGGTGGGCGTTTGAGACAGAAGAACATTTGTGTTTGATTCCTGCGGGAAGCTTGGACTCTTTCTTCATCCTTGAGATCAATTTGTACCACTCAGCTTCTTAATCAAGTTCGCCCCTTTCAAACATCTGTGAATGGCTGAGGGCTGACCCAGCTTTAGCCTCAAAGGATGTTCTTTCCTAATTTGAGGCCTGCAAGTGGCCAAGCCAGCCCTGGCCTGAGAGATTCAGCGAGCGAAGACCCGCTAAAGCACGGCAAAGTACTGGCATGGCCTTGTGATCCAATTCAATCAACTCACCTTTCAATGATTTTGAATCCACATTCAGGAAGTTGCAAGCCTGTCCATGCTAAAGTCACCATTGTGCCTCTATGTCCAGACCGTTGAGGCAGAGCTCGGACAAACAGTGGTCCTTCTGCAGTGGGGCAGGTTCCAACGAGCCGTCTCACTATCTGACTTGATCCAAAGTTGTGATTTTGGCCGGCCGTCCTGATGGAGTACCTGAGCTATCTCGGCCACCCGAGCTTGACTCAAAGTCTCCGTAAAATGCACCTGGCAACGCGCTTGCTCTCAGATCTCGGCGGAAAAATCATGAATTCAATCTGATCCTTCTGATGGCTTCCCTCGAAGTCTTGCGCAAGGACTTGCTGCTGTGACTGACAGGAGCTCAAGGCTTAATTCCAGACCCTCAGATCCTTTGACAACATCCTTCCGCATTCATATGCTGAAACCGGAACCCTGGAGATTCTACTTTGAAGCAGCAACCTAGATTCATGCTGGGCAAGCCAAGCGTGCAAAGGCTTACGGACACTTGGTGATCTCCTCCATGAGGATCTTGGAAGTCAGTCAGGCGTAGCTCCTGCATCAGCTTTCGAGCTTGAAAGAATTGAATGCGCTGCAGGATAATTCTATCACTCCAGTAAGTGCTTTGACACTGCTGAGTCTCCTGCTTCTTCACTACCTCACAACAATGAGTTGTCCCGATTGATGCAAAAACCCAGCAGGCTTCTCGACCCCTTAAGCTGAGCGGCATCCTCTGCCAGGAGTTCAGGGCTCAACTCATTCCAGCCCAGCAGCTTGAATTCTTGAAGCTTCTCCTTCAAGGGACGGGCATCTGGGCTCCACTCGTCTGGAGCCCTCCCAGGCACGCAGCTACAATATCAATCCGTGAGTCGGGGCTGGGTTGCCCCTGTGTCCTCTTGTGTCCAGCGCACGGCCAGGTCAACCACAGGTGAGTCCAGATTCAGTTGGAGGCTCGGCATGAGCTCTTAAACGCATTTCCAGTCATTGGAGACCACAAAGCATGGACTTCCATACTGCCATAGACGCAGCCTCTTCTGAGTCTACGACCGCACTACCCTAATCTCAACTGCTGACTTTGAGCAAGTGCGCCCAGGGACCGGCACTCTTGGGAGAGCTCTTGAAACTGTCGTAATTGGGGTTTACTCGGGTTATACATGGGTAATATTGGGGCTACATTGGGATAATGGAAAAGAAAATGGAAACTACCATATCATATTGGGATTATATGTTGGGTTTATTAGGACCGCACATGTCTGCCCAAAGGACATATCTGAGCAGCAGGTGTGATCCCCTTTCAAACGCCTGCTCGATGGACTGGTAGTACTCCTTAGAGGTTACATGCTGCTGCACGACATTATTCTCTTCGACTTTACCATTTGGCATCTTGAAGTTATGACCAAATTCAGCCGCGTTTCGTATTCGGCCACACGAGCTTGCTTGCTGAGAACCGTGGCCTTGGCGGGACTGCTGGTTAAACTCTCCAAAAACAAAACCTCGAATCCAGCAGTCCCCCAATGAAGCGTTCTTGAAGCTCCGAGTTCCCAGCTTGTTGTGCCAGCTTCATCCGGTCAGCTGTCTTCATCGAAACTGCTTGGAGGCAGTCCTCACCCGCAGCTGCAATGCGACGCCGCACGAAGCAGTAACGTGAACCCGGGTATGCAGCTGAGACATGTTGATACGCAGCCTGTCCTGCGCCAAATACTCGGCCTCAGCGCATCGAGAGCCATACCTGTGCTTGTCAAGGCGCCATCGAACAACATTAGCTAGCTGGATTTCCTGGGCCGTGTCCACTGAAGGTATAAGCCCCGAGTGGCCTTCTCGCCAGCTTGTCGTGCGCCTTGCGCCTATCCTCTGGGGTGTGCAAAATCAAAGGACTTTCAATTTAGGCCGAGTGGCAAAGCAATGCTGATTTCCATGACCTTCCGTGTCCTGGGCATATTTCAGCACGAGCTGCACGTCAGACTGGATCTTCTTCGAGACCTACGCCAAAAAGCTTCAAACAACATAGTCCGCGCTTCCGAAGGCTCCCCAGCCTCTTTGTGCTGCTTGATCACAGTGTCAAAGCAAACAATGATGTCTTGCTCCAACTCGTCTGCTAGAGTGATAGACTGCTCCCCCCGGTTTCGGAAATTTACCTGACGGCAAGAACGACAAGAGCAACGCATGCAATGCTGCAGTTCAGAGCACTAGCTCCAGCCTCAGCTTAAATGATGAACTACCAGAATTGATTAATGAAAATGGCGAGTCATCCTATTTTTGGGCTTTGCTTGAGGAGAAAGGCTTTCTGTCATTCAAGCCATGCAGCTCAGGGTATTGCTGCCACGCTGCAATCATGGCATCAACCGCGCTGTGGAGAGGATTGCCTCCGGAACACACCGATAAGGCAATGGCTTTTAACATAGCAAGGAGCTGAACATGATGGCCTGGCTCAACTTGGATGTCTGCGCCAAAGCCGAGGAGGCTCTCGCCATACTTTCTTTCCAGCTCTGCTCGACTTCTTAAAAGATCCGCCACCTTTTGCAGCAAACCTGAGTACGCAGCTGGCATAGCTTCGAATAGTGTCAACTAATGCATGGAGCATGTCTTCTCTTCTGCACAGTGCTGGCCATGGCGCCCTGAGAAGGCTCGATCCTCTCTCGCCACAGGTAATCAAACCTTCGGCAAGCCACAGGGGCACGTTGGCCAGACAGACTAAGATTGTAAACGTCTGGTACCAAACTTTTCGGGCAAGGATCTTGTCCCAAAGGTCTCTGCGAAAGCTAAGCCCATCCTCCGGCACCTGAACTGCACATGCGCAAACCGCACACCGTGCCCGCTCTTGTCCGAGCGATGTTTGAAGTGCCTCGGCAGCTGCCGCCTCTTTCTGCTCACAAGCGGCAGCGCTCTCCACCTCCAGGAGCTAGGACGTCGCGTGAATCATCGTCTCTTTGAGGCCGTGCCTTTCTCCAGGGCCATTCCGCCTGCGAGGTCAGCTCGGGCGTGGCAGCAACCGGGCGGTCTGACGCTTCTGGAGCCTCAGGCTTCAGGCCAACGCTGTCAGAAGGACTGACAAAGTGCTCACGGCTCAAGGCCCAAGCGGCTGCTGGCACGTCTTGTGCCATGGCATGCCGAATTCAAGCACTAACAAGCGCTGCTATGATTTTGATGATGCTCCTTTGGGTGGCGAGCTACATGCTGGTTCAACTGTTTCCTTGTCTCTCTCTTGTTGTCTCTATCTCTCACGCACCCATGTAAGTTAGAGACTTAAGGGCTAGCCACGGCCCCATGCTTGAGGTGATGCGTCACCTATGGCACATGCTTGCTGTTTGCTCATTGAGCCGTCTCAAACAAGAGGGCCCTCAACTGGCCTCAGCGCGAGGTTGTCCACACAAAGCTGCAGAACCCCTAGCTTTTTTGCGGCTCAGACCTCTCCCCGTCGGTGCCGGGACACAGCAGTGCCCACATTGAATTCTGCATGGGCTCTGTGCAGAAGAACCTCTTCCTCCTTCGAGCCATGCAAGGGTGTCTGCTCAGTTTGCGGAATTTCCGTTGTGCGTTTGCCGGCCCGCCTCTGCAAAAGAAGAAGCTATTGTACCTGCGGTTGCGAAACATTGTCACAAAGCTGTCGGGAAAGGTGGTCGGTGCAGTCTCTACATAGTCTGCATTGCCTAGCTTGGCTGGGAAGACTGAGGACAGCCGAGGTCTGAAAGATACTCTCCAGTTGGCATATTGACTTGGTGGTCCCAGGTCTTGAGAAATGCAGTTACACGGTCCAGAATGGATATAGTAATAGTACTAATGGTCGTAATAATACGAATTATCATATTAAGAATAATAATAGCAAGAATACTAGTAATAGTAGTAGTAGTAGTCGTCGTCAGATGCGGTCCAGAGAAATGCAGGCCTCTGCGGCAGCTTCCTGCGCGAAGGCTTCTGCGGCTTCTTCAGCTTCCTGGCTTCTTGCAATTTTTGGCACGAAGGTCTCCAATCTGAGGTAAATGTTCGGTATCGTATTGGGGGTAAAATTGGGGGCGTGGGGTGAGTTGTTCTTCATGCAGAGGATAACCAAAGTCCTACTGCAGCTAACTCGCAGGTGTACCCAAACGGTCTAGCTAAGCGGATGCCTAGGCAATCATAAGGGGTATCTCCACCCTTGACTCCATCACCACACCGGACTCTCGCCCTCAAATCCCCAACCTCAAACCCAAATGTCAATTCAAACCCAGAACCCTAAACACAACCTTTAGACCCTAAACCAGCAAGGCAATTCTGCAACTGAACTTTCACTGGAGGAAAACTCTCAGGAGCAATCACAAACCATTCAGGCCACAAATTGCACTTCGGGCAACACAGCGCAAGCAGGATGCATCTTCCAAGGCCGAATCCAAGCATGATCGAACGCTCAAATTTGTGTGAACAATCACAGCTGCACCGCAGCTTCTGCTTTGTCCACACTTCTAAGTGCTCTGCATCTGCTGTCAAGGCAGCCACGAACCATCCAGGCCATAAACTGCACTTCGGGCGACACAGCAGCACGAACGGGGCGAATCTTCCACGGCCAAATCCAAGCATGATCGAACAGTTCAAGGCTCAGCTTTAAATCGTCACAACCGCAGCTTCCATGTTGTTCGCACTTCTCGAGGCTTTGCATCTTCCGTCGCCCAAAGAATGGCAAGGAAGGTATTCGCAAGCCATCCAGGCTGCCATACTGCACTCCGGGAGTCACAGAGCGACATGATCAAGCAGCTCAAATCAGCTCAAGGCTCAGTTTGGCAAAGCTTCGCGAAGGGTCACAACTGCAGCTTCTGCTTTGCTTACACTCTTCGGCGCTTGGCATCTTCCGCTTCATCTGTGCAGGCGCGGGCCGCTGCAGCTGCTGCTGGCAAGGCCTTCTTGCTCTGTGCAGCTTCCGGCCTTGCTGCTTTGGCCACCTCCCCGGAAATAGCCTGACTCAAAGTCTCAAACGACTGGCAAACAGTTGTTTCGACCACTCCGATTCGCTGGCTCAGCTTCTCTGCATCCTTCTGCAGCTGCTGCCTCAGATCTGCGGATGTTCGATCCTGCTTCGCCACAAGGCCACCGAGCACCTTCTCAATACGAGCGGCTATACCGTCGTTCCTCTTATCTTGCGCCAGCTTCTCGCTTCGCATGCTTTTGTGGTCTTGTGCAAGCGCATGGACATGCGCCTGCATTTCAGAGAGCCGCAGCTCTGTCTTCTCCTGGGTCTCCTGGATGCGCTGCTCCAAGCTGTTGTGTTCTTGTGCCGTCGCCAGACCATCCAAGCTCGCCTGCATTTCAGAGACCCGCAGCTCCGTGAATCTATTGCGTTCTTGCGCCTGCAACAGACCATCCAAGCTTGCCTGGGTCTCCTGCATGCGCTGTTCCAAGCTGTTGTGTTCTTGTGCCTTCGCAAGACCATCCAGGCTCGCCTGCATTTCAGAGACTCGCAGCTCCGTTTTCTCACTCTGCAGGCTATTGCGTTCTTGCGTCTGCGCCAGATTATTTAAGCACGTCTGTATTTCCGAGACGCGCTGTTCTATCTTTTCGTTTTGTAATTTGTTGTGTTCTTGTGCCGTCGTTAGACTATCTAAGTTTGTCTGCATCTCAGTGACGCGCAAGCTGTTGTAGGCCTTCGACAGGCCATCCAAGCTCGCCTGCATCTGCTCGATGCGCCGCTCAATGTTCTCGCTGCGAAAGCTGTCGAGCGCCTTCTCAACACTGAACACAAAGTGGTCGTTCTTCTGCTCCTGATCCCGATGGGCCCTCGTGAGCGTGTCCAGGGATGCGTACAGCTGTTGCTTCTCAGCATCCATGGCTCTGCGGAGGGTGCGGTAACTGCCCTCCAGCTCCGCGTTCTTCAGTGCCAGCTTGTCAAGCTGCATGGTCTGGACCTCGTGCAAGGTCAGGCCGGCTGCTTCCAAAGCTTTCTCACATGAGCAGCTGCACAAATTAGCTATAAACAGCCAAATAAAAATCTCATCGCTTTACAGGGTTTTGGCACACTGCGGCGTTCATACCTTTCGTTTTACAGTGTTTTGCAAGATCCCTCGCCTGGATGCCCCATGTTACGATTGTTGTTGGATGGGATGCTCATAAGTCGCCCATTTGGGGGGTTCCTTTTTGGGGGGCGGCCCATCATTTTGCTAGGGTTTTGTTCATGTCGGGATATGTTTTTCTCCGCATGACCTTGGCTCCTACACGAGAATAAAGGCGGTCGCTCATATGCAAGAGAAAAGTGGCTCTTTTCTTAAAGGAAACATTGCGGAAACTGCATCCCGAACAACTAATGCTAGGCCTGGAGTTGCTGCTTCATAGCCGCAATCTGCTCACGCATCAGCTCCATAGCAGCAAGAGCAAGACGAGCACGACTAAGCTCGTCTGCTGTCTTGCGTGGGGGGCCGCTGTGACGGCTGACCAAGGCTGTTAGGCACGCTACATGTTCTGCAGTGTGAGCTTGTTGCGGATCCTATGTGTTGTAAGAGCTTGCTTACTCCCTTTGGTGCCTCAGCTACCCATGCAACTGCATTCTTTGTCATCGCTGGTCTATAAAATGAGCCTCGGTGCATGCGATTGTCCTTGATCCATCACTCTTTGCATCCAAGCTGTACGATGTCGGCGAGAATAAAACACTTCATGTGATCTAAAGCAGCATGTCATTATAATGTAATAGTTTCTATCTTCTTTTCCAGTACCCCTATAGAATCTTTACCATATACACATATATACATATATATATATATTCCCTTCTTCCCTTCAAAACAGGCTCTGGCCAGGCCTGGGCTTCGCGCAACGCGGCTTCTGCCTTCGTCTCTTCCGGCAGCGGCGCCTGCGAAAGCATGCCCTTCCCGTCCAATGTCCACAAGGCGTTGCACAGGGGAACACAACTGATTATTCAGCTGATGTTTTTGGCATCTCAGGCAAAGGCCTCTGGCGCAGCTGTGGCCCAAGGCACTTCATGGAAACACCTGCAGCTGGCTATCAAACAAGCTCTCAAGTCAGCCAAGGTGAAATACCCTCTGGAGCAACAGCCGGACAGCGGTGAACTTCTTGCGCAAGCATTTGTCCCGTGGCCTTTGTCGCTTCGATCGCCAGTCAGACCTCATAGAAGCGCTCGAGTCTGGCAATCCATGATTTCTGTACTCAAGCAGCGTGTTCGCTCACCTCACTTGGGCCCACACCAGGCGTCGAAGAAGTTGTTGAAGCTCATATCCTGAAGCTGTTCGCTATTGTCCGATTTTCGCCTGACTTCCACAAAGTTAAATTAACATGATGGATGCGGTTTACATGTCAGGCGAGATGGAAGGACAAGCCAAATGCTTCGAAGGGGACCTCACATGGTTGTCTTCCCAGAATGCAGGCCTTCTGAAGGAAACTTGTTGCTTTGGCTTCAACCTCGTCGTCGCTAAGGTCCTCGCCATATCGGGATGTTACTTTCATTGCCAAACGGACACTGAGGCCAAGGTCTGGCGTGGATGCAGCAACGCTCCTTGCGTTTGGAACCTCGAAGAGCTTTGGATGCGCGTTCTCCCGGAACCTTGCCGGTTGCACGGAATGGAAACGGAAGTTTATGTATGACATGCACAGGCTCCATCAATTAAGGTTGCCGCCGCGGCATGACCTCGCTGGTCTCCTTTGGTGATGTAGCCTTCCCTCAGAAGGTAATTGAAGTGTCGTGTCATCCTCCCATCCACTATGCTCTGACTGGTCACCTTCCATCACTGAGGGTTAAGCGACTTGGGCATTCCTGGCTTGTAAGCATTTTTACCTGTCCTTGCAGATACGGGACTGTCTCAGGGCCAATGGTTAGGGATGCAACACTTGAGCTAACTCTGTTTCAGGAACGCGGCAGGTTGCTGCCCCGAACCCTCACTTGAAGAAAGAGGCTTTTTGGTGAGCGAGAGGGAAAAGCCGGGTTCCCTAAAGCACCAGATGTCTCAAGGACTCTTTGGTTCGTTGTCCTCAAGGTGTACTTCTGCTCCACCACGAAGCCTCCATCCTGTCAGAATCAGACAGTTCTGCGTAAATTCCCCAGAGCTGCGAACAACCTTTTTGAACCTGTAAATCTGCATTCATATCCTGTCTCCGGAAGGGCCTTGTAGTGGCACAAGTGTCGATGGTCGCT